CTCTACCATGAGTTTCAACAACTATCAACGACCCTACTTGGAAGCTTTGAGGGATCACCGTTTGGGACCACGTGTTAAAGCCCCTCACGATACTGAGCATTTTGCAACCGTCTTGTAAAACTTGCTCCTTTGTCTAAATTCGCGTGTAGGACACATGGAGGTACCGGCCGAACAGAGTCATGAAGGGTTTCTCCTGCGCAAGCTCCGCTAAAACGTCCCACTCTCATTCTGAAAGCATACGAGCCCCTTCACGGGCCAAGTGGGAGAGCGTCATGGTTGGAGGGGGAGGGGTCGCAACCGTCTCATGCGCGAGGGCCAGAAGAGCCTCTCCCGCTTGATGCGCGGCCAGAGCCAATGCGCGTCGGGATCCACTGCCCGTGCTCGAGACCTCCGCGATGGCGAAGTCGCCAGTCTCTATGGTGGCTGCTAAGGCCTCCCTAAACCTCGTGAGGCTGTCAAAGAAAAGGACGTCACACGAATCAGATTGACTCGCTCGAGCGGCCGGGGGTACCGCAAGCTACTACAATCTACCTCATACGGGCATGCTAGCCGCTTATAGCTATTCGTTTGTTTGCTAGGGTCTATGGATTTCCGAAACAAAGGCTTCAAGAACTAAACAGAGGCATACAACTGTCCTATTGAGGAAGAAGTCCAGTTCATAGATTTGACCACCGAGCCAGCCATGCCGACCGAAATAGAGGGCCGGACCGGCGGCCCTAAAAAGCGGTTATTACATCTTACGGTCAATCCTCAGGGGAAACCGGACCGAAAAAGAGGGCCTTGGTGTCGTATCGAAGTTGGACAACAACGAGCCGTGTACGAGACTCCTCAAACAGCCCTACGGAATCCTAAACAAAGGCTAATCCCAACAAAAACGAGCGAAGGCCTCGATATTGGAATCAAGAAGCAAGGCCGCAGATTGCTGCGGCACTAAATAGAGGGGCTCGATTGATCTTAGGGCCAATAACGCCTCAACCTTGAATGACTACGCCCAAGCACATGGCCCGACTCTCCCCTCAAAGTTTCACCGGAACGGACACGAACAATCGTTGGAACTGAGACCGAGTCGCGTTTTTGGAAAAATGCCTTTCAAATCCGGCCCGAAACCCCAAAAACTAAGCCCGAAACAGAGGGACTCCGTGACGGACTTGCATAGATAAGGGGCGTACAGTGTTAACAATGGCACCAAAAAGCTACGTAACCCTAAATAGAGAAAACGTCCGTTAGTCTGATGCTAAAGAGATGCACGACGAGGAACCGGCGGCACAACAACCATGCCCCAGATACCCGTATAGCAAGTATATGCGAGGCCAAAGAAAGATCTCACGCAGTGCTTCGATCGAACAAAAGACCCTTTGTTTAATTCCAACAGTTCCTCTTACAGATCAGGAGTCAAGTAGGCGAAGCCCCAAAATCTTTCGGGACCGAGAGGATTGGTGCCCAAGCCGGACGTCACAAGACTCAAACAGTCTCGCTCGAGCGGAAGGGGTTGCTGCGGGCCAAAATCTACTTGCGACCGGAACCGGATCTCTGTACGATTGTTCTGTTGTTCGCTAGAAAGAATTGAAGCTTAAAAAAAAATTCTGCCAAATGTTCATAATCATGTTCAAGCGATTAGTTGGCAATCTGCAATCGAACGGCCTGCATCAATCCAGCCCAACAGAAAGGCTTTGGTTAGTGAGCAAAAAGTCACAAAGACCGACGCCCGATGCAGAACCTACAGTCTGCATAAATTGAAAGGTTTATTGACCCTCGACTCGGAGCATCAACGAAACAAAGGCATTGATCAAGAAGGAAACAGATATTATTCATTATATTATTGATCGAATATATTCTGCCTTCCCATTTCGGACCACGGAGCCAGCCATGCCGACGAGAACAGTGGCGCCCGCAACCATAAAATTCACTTTTTTCTAATACCGGGCGATCCCCAAAAACTGAAATAGAGGGCTCCAATGTCTAAGTGGGATTGAGGCGACGACAGCCATGTAGAAGACTGTTCAAAGAAGCGGAATCCTAAACAGAGGCTGAAACCGACAAATCGAGCGAAGGCTTGGAGATTTGAATCAAGAAGCAAGGAAGCAGGATCTTGCGACACTAAATCAAGGGTGTCGATTGATTCGGCCAAAACCGTCTCACGCTGTAATACTCTACTCGAGGACATCGCCCATTCTAAACAACCCCTCAATATTTTCCTCGGCATCCACCAAGAACGACCAAACCTTTCAACCTTTCCTGGTTGCTGTGACGGACGATTCGAGTCATGCAACCGAGACTGCATGAAGACTTGAAAGCAAGCCAGCGCTTCCAGAAGAACCCCCTTCAAATGAGGTTCCAAACCCCCAATCTTAAGGCCCAAACGAAGGGACGCCGTGACGTCCTAGGATAGAGGAGAGCGTGCGGTTTATGTAACAACACTTATAGAGGGTTTAGGGAAGCGCAGTAGGGCAGCGACTCAAGTGCTTGAGCGCCTTCTTTTGTCTTGTCCAAAACGGGCCGGAACTTAGAGGCTCAAACAACAACCAAATAGGAACCAATCTCCAAGCATGAGCCGAAGCAAAAGTCAAATCAACAGCGCCATTGACGTGCTGCGATGAAACAAGGAAGAACCTTGGATGCTTACCACCGGCGTGCTGACGACGGCTTGCGAGAGGAACTTCTCGATCTACTGATGGAGGGATTCGGCGGCACCTTTGGTTATATCTCGTAAGGGGCAGCTCGTGACGAAGTGCAAGACGTTTGAAGAGCTTAAAATAGGAAATGCACAATTGATTGTGTGTTGATATTCAAATTCAACAAGTCCATACAGTCTGCAGAGATGCATGGGAGGAAGCGACTTTACAAAGTATGGAACCCAAAGCGTGTCGATGTGCTCGTTGCTTTGTCAAGGATCACCATCTAAGTAACCTACAAGAGACCCAACTTTATCATCCTCAAGATTGTGCTTTGACAATGACCAGCTTGAAAAAGGCACGTTCCCCTCACGTTCTCCCTCACGTTCAAAAAGTTCCCCCTTTGTGTCAGCTTTGATCCACGTTTTGTCCAGCCACTGCACCGGAGCCGTGGGGTCTTTCCGGTTCAGGAAGTGGAAGTCGAAGAGGCCAAGACAAGAGCGGGCGAAAATTGCTATCAAGCCTTGATTGCAAGCTCCCGTTGCAGCGAACCCTATGCCCGCGACTGTATGCCGGTCGCATGCAATGAAGTCGCTTCCCGGTTCTTGGAACCTGAGAAGGATATTAAGGGGATGTTGAATGGGAGGCTAGGAGTGCACGCTTTTAACATCACCCTGGTCTAAAGAATGGGCTATCCTATAGTCGACGCCTCGGAATGACAATGATTTTGCAGCATTGCTAAGGAAGTAGCCGAAGGCGTTGCTTGTTTGCGCATGTATACGACAAGTCCACAGATCGCAAGCAAGATTGGAGCAAAAAGAAAGGGCATATGCTGTTATAAATTTTGATCGAAGTGTGGTCAAGCCCGGGAGTTGCAATTGTGATGCCTTCTAGTAGTGGATTCAACAAAACAGGCATGTTTCTTTGAGGAACCGAAAGGTATCTCGCTTCAGAGACATGCAGAACAGCTTCCACGCTAGTCTTCGATGGGATTCAAAGTCTGAGCGTAGCGACAAACGGGGCTGAAAGTCTTTGCTAAGAACCTGGAGGGCCCGACTTTGCAGAAAGCTGGAATGCTGACTAGCTATTGAGTTTCCTTACCCCATGTTGAGCTGGATTCTATGTTGCAACAGGAACTGCGACGGGAGGGCTATGGTGCCTTTCCACAACAACTCGGCTTGAAGTGGACTCAGGCTGTCAACTTAGTTGCGCACTTAATCTGGAGGTCAATTGATCTTCCGGAAAACGACAGGCGGGCTTCATTTTCAAGTAGTCCTCAGGACAAAGCGCCAAGCAAAGCTCGACGTAGCGCTGGATGTTGTCTGGCGTCATAACGAGGCCATACCAGAGCGTCCCAGGCTTCAGGCTCTCAACGATCTCTTTGTCTTCTGCTGAAAGCTCAGAAGTGGCTTCGTTCTCGGCCCGTCGAAGCCGCTCCTCTCCGTAGAACATCTCCCACGGGAGCTTGCCATAAACGCTCGAGGGAACCCGGTTTTGGGTGTAGCTAGCGATAACAATGTTTCCGCAAAAACCTCCAGCTTCAACATCGCATCCTTGCAATGCTCGCGCTCTTTCCTCGAGCGTCCGGTTTAGTTGCTCCGCCGAACCCTTTTATTTAGGAGAGTTTCCCGCCGTGGTCTGTTGCACTGTCCCTTTCTTTGGGCCGTCATTCCCTTGTTGACGTACTCTCGGCCTTGGTCCGTCTGCACCTTCTTGATCTCCTACCCGTATTGCGTACTCAAGCGGGCAAACACGCTCTCCGTGACCGTTGTGACGTTGCTCTTTCACTTCATCGGTTGCACCACCAGAAGCTTGTTCTGGTCATCAAGAAATTGTGTTAGAATTGGTGATTCTAGTCAGCCGAATTGCTGTGTGAGATCGACCTAGTTTTAGGGTATGATCAAATAAGCCGTGGCGTGTGTGCACGACGGTTAGGCGAATGAACTGTTAGGCGGTATTGAGGTTAGGCGGATGAGAAGACCGTTAGTGTAAGCGGTAGATGAAGATATCGAAGGCGAAGATAACTGAACGGGGACAGCGATTGCAATCTTGAAAGTACCTAGGAGATTTCTGGAAGCTCAAGCTAGATCTAGAGGCGGCGGGACAAATTGTCTCAAAGGGCGAGCTGGCCCACCGCCTTGGAGAGTCTGCCGGACGAGTATCCCACACTTGAGGAAGTTTGAGCTTGGGGTCGAAGAAGTAACCATTGAGTTGGGGACCGAATCTTTGGAAAAAACCAGGATTGTAACATCACGACGTCGACAGCAATCGACCCACACAATGAGATAGACCCGCTCTCCGTTCCCCACTCCCGAAAAGAGCGCCGCATCCGCAAGGAACGCCACGAACTCGAAGTCCTCGAGCTCCTCCTTCAGACGTGTGTGCCACACACGCGGCGCCTGGCGCAATCCGTATTGGATGCGCTTGAGGCGGCAAACCATCCCAAATCCGCCTTGCTCGTACCCCTGCGGATGTTGCATGCGAATCTCCTCCTCGAGCTCACCTTTGAGGAACGCCGGCTTGACGTCCAACTGGTGCAACTCCAAGTGGCGCTCCGCGACCGCTGCAGGAAGCGCCCGCAAAGTCGTGTGCTTGGTCACCGGGGCGTAGATTTCCTCGAAGTCAATTCCTTGCTTTTGCAGGTATCCTTTCGCCACCATGCGAGACTTATACCGCTCCACGATTCCAAACGCATCCCGCTTAATCTTGTAAACCCACTTCATGGGAACCGGCTTCACCCCCTCCGGTTTTTTGGCAAGCTCCCACGTCCTGTTCTCCAACAAGGATTGCATCTCCTCGTCCATCGACTTCCGCCACAGCTCGCTCTCTTCTCCCCCTACGGCTTCCTGATACGTATGGGGCACCGGGCCCCGACCCTTAGGGGTGCTACCCCGACTCCCCCCGCCAGATTCGCCCGGTACCACTCCCAGGGCGCCCGCCTCGCTCTAGCGGGGTATCTACGTTCCGCGGTCTCGTCTTCTGTAGATTCTCGGTATCCCTGTCTCCTTCGACGGGCAACCCGATCCTTGCTTCCCCTCCACGAAAAATCCACCGCCTTCCTCCCGGTGCCGGCCTTGTTCAGATTCGGTGATTATAGTCAGCCGAATTACTGTGATTAGGGATCGGCCCGAGTTAGGGTTTGGACTGGTGAACGCCGACGTGCGTGTACGGCGGTTGGACGGTTAAACCGTCAGGCGGTTTGGA